GCTTCATCCACTGTATTTTCTAAAGTTGGTGGCTGAAATATTGAAATAATTCTACCCAATTTAGTCAATAGTTTTTTTCCCTAGCTCTCCAGGTATCCCCACTGACCACCCTGACACCTCTTCCACAAGCCCCTTTGGACTTCTCCATGATCCATCAACAAAAAGGCTCACATCTGGTTCAGCGGAGGCCTCCTAGGTCTCCTTCACAAAACAGAAAATCAACCATTAACCACTTTAAAGGGTATAATTCAATGGCATTTTTTGCAACCACAATGTTGTAAAATTGTCATCTCTATGCCCAAACATTTTCATCACCCTAAAAGGAAACTCTATACCCATTAAGAAGTCAGTTCCCATTCTTCCCTCCCTCAAGCCCCTGGCACCACTAGTATGCTTCTGTCTCTGTGAACTTACCTGTTATGGAAGTTTCATACAAATGGAGTCAAACAGTAAAGTGGCCTGTGTCTGGCTTCTTTAATTCATCATATTTTCAAGGTTCATCCACATTGTAGCATGTATCAGTACTTCTCCAATATGGTGAGATTGAGTGCTGGAACCAGTCTCATGGGGAATCAATGAGTGGAGAGCAGAGCAAATGATCCCAAGTGAGAACCAGGTGGAAGCTGTACTGCCTTTTATGACCTTGCCTTTGAAGTCATGGAGCATCACTTCCACTGGATTCTCTTGCTCAAAGCAGTTATAAATTCCACTCAGATTCAAGTGAAGGGGAAAAGAGGACATCTCAGTTGGGGCATGACAGTGTCACATGGAAAGAAGAGTGCATGGAACAGGACACTATTAATTTATTAACAGTGGAAATTAATAAAAGAAACCCTAACTAAATTGGAGTGAGGAAGGCCTGTAGGGGGAGCTCTCACATCCTATCACATGTCATCAATTACAGCAAACAGGAAGAGACAGACAGACGCTTGCATCTCTGACAGGAAGTGAAAGTACTTTACTACTGAGAGGAGATTTCTCTCCCCAGCAGGCAAGAGCCCAGCCAATGAGAAACACCACAGCTCAGCCAAGGAGAAGCTGTCACTGCTCTGAACTGTTACTGTCCTCCAATGGACTTTCAGTTTAGAACATCCCCTCCCTACTCCCCCTTTTTCTCTATAAAATCATGCTCCACACCCTTGGTTTTCTGAATTTGCCTATGATTTGCTGTAGTATGCACATTCCGAATTGCAATCCTTTTGGTTATTCCCAAATAAACCCATTTTCAAATAAAATAACAGGTGAATTTGCCATTTTAGTTGACATATATGTGGTTTCAGAAAAGTGGGTCCAAAGGAGGCGATCTCCTAGAGACAGTGACCACCAGAATTGAGCAAGGTACCCACACGGAACCCCTCGTGCTTATTGCTTATGTGTGTTGCCACCTGCTTTCAGTTTGGTGAGTCTTCTCTCAGATGATGAACTCTGCTCTCCTTGAGTTTTGAGCTCTCAGATTTTATTCGGAAATGGGAGAGGCTTTGTCCTCTTGGGGGAGGTACTTGGTCCTCTTAGTTCAAGGCTCTGTCCTTGGGTTCATGACATTGTCTTTGGTGATTACTCATTTGTTTTCTGAGTGTAGCACAGTTTCTTTTGGGACTTGGGCTTGCTGAAAATCCAGGAGTTTTTCTTTGGTTATCAGATTCCTTTTGGAATGACAGCTTTTTCTTTCAAAATAAATCCAGCAACTTTTCTTTTGTTTTTAGATTCCTTTGGGGATTGGGCTAGAACTTGAGCAACTTTCTTGCATTTTCAGAGGAAATTTCAGAAATGGGATAACAGTCATCTAAAGGTTCTGAGCGAAACTCTCTTTCCGGAACCCCATCCTGGTTTATGTTTTAAGAACTTCAGGCCCCCTAAATGCACATTTTAAACTAAGAGTGCCAAACAGAACAAAAGCAGTCCAGAATTGCAATGGCCATTATGGGGAACTTTTGATCTCCCCAAACTATCCTTTCTTAAAATTGAATTGGAAATGTGCAGCTCTAAAATTAAGGAAAACAATTGGTATGTCTGTTTGCATTGGTACCCACAGGCTTCTGGATACCCACTGTTGATGCAAATAATCAATAACCAATCTATAGGTAAGAGAGGTATTTAAAGAGTTAATGTGAGAGCTGGCCTGGAAGCACTCTCTTCCCCAGGGAAGAAAGCACTCTGGGGAAGTGTGGTTTACAGCGTGGTTATATAAGATTTCAGAACAAAGAACATACAGCAGCAGCACAGAAATATAACTTTTTCCTTAAAATCACAAGGAGACGATTTGCCACAGTTGAGCACATTCTCAGCAGGTCAACTTGATATTGGTTTTCTGTTAGGAAAGGCTTGTCTTCAAAGAACTACTGGTATGGGCATCACAGAAAGGGAGACATTCATCTGTATCTTTAAAGAATGCCTTCTCTGCTTTCAGAAAATGTTTGAAGCAGATGTACAATGTATGTGCAGAGGGACACAAATCAGGCTGCTCTGGGATAAAGTTTTATGCCAAATCAGATTTAAACCAGAATGACTTCCCCATATGCCGATATGTGACAGCTTCTTCCTATTATTATTTTCATCATTTTTCCCTTTATGACCGATAATATTTTGATAGAAAGCAATGACGATCAAGTTATTGTCCCTTCTTGCCGGGGTGGTTGCTGCCTGCCCTGGGTCCATCATGTCCCTCAGAGCTGGGCTTTTATTTTATTGGTTCACCCAGTTACCCATGTTGAGGGAAAAATAGCTGAGCTTAGTGAGCAGACATAGTGGTATATCCTGATAAGGGAAGCCTTCCATAGGTCAATAATTTTAGATTGTTGCACAAACACTGTACATACAGTTCAACAAGATTTTGTAGTTATCACTTATAACAGTTAACAACTATAGAGAAGATTTAGTAGTAATGATAGTAAAGTGTTTAGTTGAGAGGAATAAGTCTTAAGCTTAATCCTTATCAGAGAAAGAAGGTTGTTCAAAATGTCAGATTGATCGACCATCTCAAGTTGTCAAGCAATCATTAGTCTAGCTTGCATATCACTCTTGCAACAATAAGCAAAGAAAACCGTTATTAGCTTGATTAGCATGATTAGTACAAGAATTCCAAGAAGTAACAAAAATAGGAATTGTAATCAGATCACAGAAGGGAACCAATATCTGAAAAGAGCCAACTAAATAAATTGAGACTTTGTGAGGGGTCGCTTAGGGTATCACCTGTTTTTTCATGTGTTTTAACAGAGATGACACATTGGAAAACTCATCAGGTATAAAAACACAACATTCAGTTTGAATTATAGCACATGTGACACCTTGGGATGAAGTTAGAGTATCTAAGGCCATTCTATTTTGATGGACAGCCTTTCTCATTAAGGACATCTCAGTACTCAATAAAGCTAGTCCTGTTTGGATACTGGCAAGGGCCTGTTGAGTTAATCTAGTCAGGGCTTCTACATGGGATGTGACATCTTCTAATCCTATGAGGAGAACAAATACAGCTGCTAAGTGGTCACACCAATGGAACAATGAATGAGTCTATCTGTCCTTAAGGAGAGGAAGATGGGCAACAGTTGTTAACTTAGGATGAATCCTTCCCTGCATCTAAGGGAACCCCAGAGCACAGCTTCCTAGCTATCCAGGTGGTAGCCAAGGCACAGATTTGTTCCACAAGACCACTGAGTTCCTATGGGTGCCACCCAATACATGTCTGTACTTTGAGACCAGTCTGTTCCAAACCAATCAATTTCTTCAAGAATGATAGTATTTTGACATGACTCCAGGGGTATCCATCCCATGTTGTGGGTACAGTTAGGTAAGTTTTGTTTGGAATGGTTTCTCTGTTCCAGTGTAAAGGTGCTCACGTACTTAAAGACCCATCACTAGCAGTGAGACAGACAAATCCATCCCAGATTTGTGTGAAACATCCCATAGTTCTTATCGTAAAATTCAATTTCTTTTGTTTAGTGGCAAAGTGTTGGGGATAATTGAGTATTTTGAGCAACAGAAAAGGAATAACCATTTCTTGTACCATTAATAGTATTGGCTATTGGCCAGGCTTCAAGATCATAGTTAGTAATATCAGATGACCTCTGAACATTAGAACTATATCTATCTATCGTGTGGATTGAATAAACAAACATAGTATCAGAAAAACCTTAAATGGCAACCTGATAGTTAATTAAAAGCTTTTGTACTTATGCTCTGCTAAGTGAAAGAGGCCAGACACAAAAGATCACATATTGTGGGATTCTATTTATTTGAAATGTCCAGAGAATGCAAATCCACGGAGACAGAAAGCAGACTGGTATTTTCCAGGGGCTGAAGGGAAGGGGAAATGGGGAGTGACTGCTAATGGGTACGGGGTTTTCTTCTGGGTGATGAAAGTGTTTGGAACTAGATAGTTGTCGTGGATGCACAACATTATGAATGAACTAAATGTCATTGAATGATACACGTTAAAATGGTGAACTTTATGTTGTGTGAGTGTCACCTTTATTTTAAAATATATGTGGGGGGAGAAGGAGCTGTGGTGAAGAGTTTGAGTTCTAGATCCAGGCAGACAGAGTGTGAATCTTCCTCCTCCACTCACCAGCCTTGTGACCTTAGACAGCTGATGCTGCTGCCCGGCCACTGTTTACTCATCTGTAAAGTGCGTGTGATTGTTGCACCCACCAAAGAGGGATAACAGGAGGAGGATTCAAGCATGGTCATGTATGCAGAGATCATGGATCACAAGGAGTTGATAAGTGGCAGCTGTGGTTGTTCTGGGGAAGGGAGAAGCTCCTCAGGGTGAGCCGTGGCCTCATAGGTACAGCTTCAGAAACCCTGATCCAAGTTCACACTTTTGGGCCCTGTTTCTATATGTACACTACTTCTGGAATTGCATTAACAGAGAAAAGGAAAACACCTCCTTGATTCTTTAGAAGAGCTGCAGCTTGATGGAAGGAGGCAAGACCACAGAAAGCACTTTCCCATGGAGGTGGCAACCATGGAGGGGGAGGACAAAGGCTTACAAAGGTTCTCTCAGAGGTAGGAAGACATGGAGACAGTCAGGGGACATTCTCTGCAGAGGTGGGGATACTTTATGACCCTGGAATCCTTCAACTCCCTTCCCTCAGTGCCCTCGGCGGGGCAGGAAGCTGATCTGGTACTTTGGGGGCAGTTTGCCCACACCATTCTCCAGGGGAGTGAAGTCGATGTTCTCAGGAGCCACGGGGCTGACAACAGAGAAGTTCTGGAGGATGGTGGTGAAGAAGAGGAATAATTCCATACGAGCAATGCCTTCGCCGAGACAAACGCGCTTCCCTGTGGGCACAGATGATGATCAATGTGGGCATGGGGCAGATGCACGTTCTTTGCCTTGTCACATCCCAAAGCCCAGACACCTGATTCCATTGCAACATATTTACATGGGATTCACCTTTAAACTGCATTTTAGGGTTGATTTTAGGAAGTTCCCAAACCCTGTGAATCCAAGTGTAAACCTTGGGTGGATGTGTTTTGCACATTTTTCCAGGAGAGAATTTGTAGCTTCTTTTAGGTTTCCAAAAGGTTTGTTGTCCCCACAGACTCTAAGGACCCAGTTCTGGTTGGATGTGTGTGTGTGTGTCTGCCTCCACATATAGGTGTGTGGGTATTTCTGATATAACATTTTCTATGTCCTTCATTTCTAATATGGGGGTACCTATCTCAGAGGGCTATTATGAGGATGAAGAATTTAATATTTGTAAAAATTCTTAGACTAGAATTCTATTCTGACCCAGATTTAGGATCCTGTATATGTAGTTAGTGCTTTCTGTTTGTGTCTGGGTATGTGTGGTGGGAGTGTGTCTCTTACACTGAGCATGTTTGTCTATCTCTTGGACGTCTTCTTATCTCAGCCTGAGAGCCACGCACTTCAAGATTTCAGAGAAATTCCCAAATTGTGCATAAAATTGTGAATGAGATTGATGACTATGAGAGGGGGATCTATGGCTTCCATCAGATTCTCACACCCACCCCCAATAGTTTATGAACCACGGGCTTGGAGAGAAATGAGGAGAAAAGGAGCTGAAAACCCACGCAGAGACACTGAGAGCCTCCTCCTTTACCTCCGTGTTTTTCATCTGCAAGCTGACAACCTTGGGAGGTCATATCAAGGATGGGTTTCCAGGCATTTCCTAGACCTTTCAAGTTTATAGACCTTGTGCCTGTGTGGAGCTATCTGGGGAAGGGTCCACATCTTTCTGGAACTTCCAGAAGTTAGGGGACATGAGCTTAGAAGTACTCAGGGCAGAGCTCAGGGCTGGCTGTTCATGTTTAACTGGTTCTGTGACCCAGGTTTTTCAGAACAGCATGACACCTCTTGTATCCCTCCCTGCCCATCCTCTGCATCCCTGGGGCTGTCCACGTGAAAACACTTTGGTATACGTTTGGCTTTAACACCTGTTTGGCTCGGCTTGCCTTTCTTTCTGCCCATAGCAGTCAGCCTCGGTTTTTTTCTGTCTATACCTCCTGTCAGGCCCTGGTTCTCTGTCTCTCTTCTGTTTGTCTCCTTTTTTCTGCTTTCTTCCTGTTGTTTACCTCCCTATCTCTGTCCATTTGGGTCTGATTCTGTCTGCAACTCTCTCTGTCTCATTTTTCATCCCCATCTACAGGTAACGTTTCTCTCCTTTACTATTTCTTCTTCTCTGCTTATGTCACTCTCTTTTTCCCCTTGTTTGCTTTTCTGTTTCTCTCCCTCTTCTTCTCCCTTTCCCTCGTCCCCTCCCCTCCTCCCTCGTTCTTTTCCTTCTCACTCTCTCTCCTCTCCTTCCTCTCTTGTCTGACATTCACCCTGTCTCTTTCCACTGCTGTCTTCCCTGTGTCTATGTCCTGCTGTGTCTCTCTGTTCCCCTCTCTGTTTCTCACTCACTCTGTCCTTCTCTGTCTGTCTCTGTCCTTGTTTCCCCACCTCTCTGCCTCTCTCTAAACATAGGTCAGGACTATTGAATGGAGGTTTGACCCTCAGCCCACCACATAGCCCCCAACTCTCACTTAAGATGAAATGAGGGAGGAGGCCATTGCACTGGGCAGAGCCAGAGCCCTGGTTCACTGAAGTCACTGATGGAAATCAAGACTCGGGACTTGATTCTCCAGTCTTCCTTTCTCCTAAATGAAGAGGACCCTGGGGCTAGAGGTTTTCTCTGGATGAGGCCACTGAGTGGGGAACTGGGATAGAGACACATCAGAGGATGTCAGGACCCTCCCTGGCTCCCGAGTGCCATCAGGATTAAGCCAAACTCTCCCCAACTTTCAGGGCCCTCCAGATGAGCTCTTTGCCCTTATCCCCTTCCTTAATCCATACCCCAGACAGCCTGGTTTCTTCAAGTTTCTCAATGCACCATGCTATCTCCACCTTTAGGCTCTTCCCTTGCTGTTCCCTCTGCTTGAAACACTCTTTCCAGTAGCTGGTTGATGGTCAGCCATGATGTCTTAGCTTAGAAGCCAGTGCTTCAAGTAAGCTTTTCCTCACTAACCTACCAAGAGTTGTCAGTACCTCCTATTCCATGCTCCCAACACCCCCTTTACAGCACTTATGACAATTATGATTATTATAATAATAACAATTGCCCCATGAGCATTTACTTTGTGTCAACCCATTCTAAGCATATTGCAAGCATTAATTCTTTTAGTTAGTTATTATTGTGTGACTGTACTATGAATGCCCATCTCTCCTGCTGGACCGTAAATTTCATGAGGCAGGAAATGTCTCTATGTGGTGTGTCCAATACATTATCTTCAGCCCCCAATAGAGCATTGTGCTATAAATAATTAACAACAGATATTTTATGCTGAGATGTGGAGAGGTTAAAATACCTGCCCAGGGTCCAGCTAACCAAGATGCGCCTTTGCGATCAAACTTCTCAAGCCCCCTCTAGGGTTGTAGTGAAGATGGAGCAAGTTAATGCAGGTAAGGCAACTGGTATACATTCACTGCTCAATAAACAAAGACCTCTCCCTGATTGTCTCAAGGAGGGGATAGCATCTGCATTCTGGTGTCTGGGAAAGGGAGTACGGGTCCACCTTACCTGTGGAGAAGGGAATAAAAGCTTCATTCTTCTTCAGTGCCCCATTGGCATCCAGAAAGTGGTCAGGGTTGAAGGCGTCTGGTTTTTCAAAGTAACGTGGGTCATGGAGAGCAGAGCTCAGAATGGGATAAACTTCAGTGCCCTGAGGGAGGGTCATAGGAGCAAAATATTGTCTTTCTCTTCCCCACTCCACCCCAAATTCAAAACAAGAGGCCCCTAGTCATAAAACCAACAGGATGTTATGTTTGGAGATGAAGAGAACCCAGGATGCCCACTCTGGAGGCATGCAGGAGCCCAGCTGGCCTCACCTTCGGGATGATGTACCCTCGGAAGTAAGTGTCTTTGGTGACCACGTGGGGCAGGCTCATGGGGAGGAGGTCCGAGAATCTCTGAATCTCATGGATGACTGCGTCAGTGTATGGCATTTTGGCTCGGTCATCGAGGGCTGGAGGGCGTTGTGAGCCAATCACCTGATCAATCTCCTTGTGGATTCTCTCTGCACAGAAGAGTGGGACCAGTGAACCTCATTTCAGCGGGGACACTGATCAATGGGCCAACAAGCAAGGAAATACCTATAGTAAAAGGTTAGATTATTGACACCCCTCAGAGCAACCAGCTTGAGGTGGGGGGAGGATGGAGGAAGCAACAAGATTTCTTACCCACTGAAATCTAGTGAATATTATGGATGCTTTCCCCACATGCACAGGTAAACACAGACACACACATGCCCACAGGTGCCACAATTTTGCATAGAATTTCAGATTAACAACTCTAGGCTATGAATCTATAAAAATTCTCCGAGAAGAGTAGACAATGAACTAATACTTATTTTGTATGTATGATAGATGAGGCACTGTGCTAGGTCCTCAGGAATATGACAGTGAAATAGATCAATAGATTAACCCATGAACAACTGGATACGTAAATGAATACATCAATCAATCAATCAACCAACGGACCGATTCAAGAATGGAAAGATTCATGAATAGAAGAATGTTAATAAATGTATGTATTTACTTATCAATCAATAGATGAATTAATGAATTATTAATTAATAAATGGTCCATAGATCAATAAATCATGTGAATGTATGAATGGCTAGATTTATGGAGAAATAAGGGAATGAGTAAATTAGAGAAAGAATGAGTAAAAAAACCAATAAATAAAAGGATGCATTTAATGACAGATGACCAAATCAAGAATGCATAAATGAGTGAATTATTAAATGGACAAATGAAGGAATAGATGGATGAAGTATGAATTGAAGGACTGACTGATGGAAGGATTAAAGCATAATACCTAGCTTAAAGAAGGACAGATGGATGCATGAATGAATGAATGAGCCAATGAATCAATGACAAATAGTTCGTTGAATTCATCATCATTTCAAAGGACGAATAGATGAATCAGTTAATCCAAATAAAGAATGAAGTGCATGCTTTTGGATAAATCATAGATAAAAGTATCTGAGCATACAGGTTAATTAAGAAATAAAAGGACGGACAGATGAATGGATGGATGGATGGATGGGTGGATGGTTGTGTGGATGCATGAGTTGATTTTTAAGGGATCATAGAAAACAGTGGGAGAACAGATTGACAGATTCTTCATTCATCCATCCACCAACAGGACTGGCCCAGTTGAGAGCTCCTTCAAAACCTGCAGTGATCCAGCCAGAAGAATGGAACACACCCTCTCTCATTGATGAAGGACTCCTAGTCCCACTTCTGCATTCCAAAAGGGGTCAGAAGACCTCTCTTGCCTGGCTGTCCCAAGTCTGCCCACCTGTGATGTGGGGGTATTTGAGCATAAGCAGGAATCCATAGCGGAGAGTGGTGCTGGTGGTCTCAGTGCCCCCGAAGAAGAGCGCGAGAGTATTGAGGATGAGGTTCTGCTCGTGGAACTCACTGTTTGGGTCAGACTTCTCCTGTGCCCAGAAGGGTAGGGCTCGTGTCAGGGGAGGCTGGACCCTCACCCCACACACCTGTCTCAGGTTGCCCTCCACCTGTTTCTGGGTCTCTCATACTGTCTGGCTCATTTTCCTATTCTCTGTCATCTGCATGTCCAACCAAGTATCTCTGTTTCTGTCTCTCTAAGTCTCTCTTCACTCTGTCTGGCTCTGTTTCAAGCTCTCTGTCCATCTCTTTGATGTGTTTGTCTCTCTTCTTCTCTCAGTCTCTTTCTGCCTCTGTGGGTCTTTTCACCTGTTGCTGTATTATTGTCCCCTGTCCTGTATTTCCAGTATCTCTCTCTTCTCTCTTCCCTACTTTCTCCTTCCTTTCATCTCCCACTCCATTCCCTCCTGCATCTCCCCTCCCTTTTCCTAATCTCCCTTCCTCACCCTCTGTACTTCCCTCCTCCTCTTCCCCACCCTCTAAACCTTTCCGCCATCTTGTTCTCAACCCCCATTTTTCCTCTTTCCCCTCCCATCCAGCTCCCCTCTCCCAAACCCCACTTTGTCCATGCGCAGCAGGTACGTATCAATGATGTCCCGGGGGTTGCTGGGGTCCAGGGTTTTACGGTGCTCCTCCACACTGCGGGCAATGAAGGCGTTGATTTCCTGCAGGATTTTGTAGACTTGCCTGTGTGTGCCAGGAAAGTGCTTCAGGAAGTTGGGGAAGAGCTCAAACACCTGAGGCAGGAGGTAGAGAAGGGGATGTGAGGTCCTCCTGGGGCTGAGGTCACAGAAGGGGCAGCCCTGTTGGACCTTTATACCTCCTAGGGGAATCTCTGTCTCCCTCTGTCTTTATCTGTTTGTCTCTGTCTCTCTGTTTCTCTGTCTCATTTTCTCTCTATATATATATTTATATCTGAGTCCCTCAGACACTGATTCTATGTCTCCCTTGATCTGTTTTTCTCTCATTTTTCTCTTTCTGCATCTTCCTCTCTCATCCTTCTGTCTTATTGTTGGTCTCTGCCCCACCTCTCCATCTCTCCTTTCCACCTCTCCTTATCTCTGTGTGTCTCCTCTTATCATCATCTCTCTGGGCTTCTCTTGCCTACCTCAGCCAGTTTACCTGTTTTGCTCAAATCTCTCTCTGACTCTTTCCACCTCCTGCATCTCCCTTGCTGTGTAAGATATTGATAACAGGATGTTGACACAAGATGAGCCTATTGGTGGTTTATGACTATTTATTTATGTGGAACATATTTTTACTGTTATGTCTGATAATAAATGTAATAGTCAAGTCATTGCAAATAATAGCAAAAGATTAAAAACATATCAATGTAAAATTCCTTGTTAATCCCTCCCTCTAAAGACAACCACTGTTAACTTTTTAGTGGATCAGCTTCCAGACATTTCTATTTCCATGGTTCTCTAGGGGAAGAGATAATTGAAACCACCTCTTGGGCTTGTCTCAGATCCTCACCCTGGGACCGCATTCCAGATTTGTAACAGTCTAACCCGTGAATGTGACACACACCTGGTGAAGAACAATGGCCATGTGTATGTTGTGCCATTTAATTTTTTTAAGTTAATATACAATAGATGTATTTCCAGATTAGTTGAGAAAGAGAAAATTCATTATTTTGTTTTAAAAGAGGAGCGTATTCCTTTATAATTTGGGAGACAATTTCTAAAAACATAAAGAAGGAGGAGAAAGGGGGAAATGAAGAAATGCAGTTTCTTATTTTCATTGATCTTTGGATTTCATCAAGTGAGGAGTTTTGCCAAAGACAGAGGCAAAGATCCAGGGGAAGCAGGGACAGAAGAGTAGAGAGCCTGAAAGCCTGATTCATTCTCTCTCTCTCTCTCCCCCGCCCCCGTCTCACACACACACACACACACACACACACACACACACACATGCACACAAACTCTGTTTTCAATTGCCTGTCTCAGGATCTCTTCATGTCTGCCCTTCTTTGTCCTGTTTTCTCTCTGTCTTCTCTCTTTTCCTCTCCTTTTCTCTCCTCTCTCTTCCAAGTCCACATTTCTTAGTCTCTCTCTCTCTATTTCTGCCTCCCTCATCACTCCTCTTTCTTTCTCTTAGTATCTCAGTCCCTGTCTCACCAACTGTCCCTCCCAGCAGGTCTCAGTGTCCCTGTATCTCCCTGTGTCTCTGCCCTTCTTCCAGACCTAAGCTGCATTTCTGGCCCTCAAAGCAGATCACTCCTTTCCCCTGCTCTGGATGCTCCCTCATCACCACTGTACCTCAGCCTCTTCCTGACCTGGCTGGAGAAGGAGCTGATGAGTGCAAAGGACTGGTAAAACAAGTCCAGGAGCCGCAGGAACTCAGGATCTCTGTAGGAGAAGCGTTTTCCAAAGACAATGGAGGAGATGACGTTGGCGGTGATGGCTTGGAAGAAGAAGGTGGGATCCTGGAAGGCTCCTAGGGGGAGGAGGTGAAGGTCATTGGACACAGACTCAAAGGCCTAGAGAGTATTTGGCTGCTGCCCCAGCTCTGTGTGACTGTCCTCCATCGCTCAGTAATGATGGAGAAGACAGGACCAGGAACAGCTAACAGATGTCAGACCATATTATGTGCCAGGCCCTACTCTAAACACTTCATATATTGTTTTACTTAATTTCCCCACAGCAACCCTGTGAGGAATGCACACTTCTGTTATTACCCCCATTTCATAGATGGGCAGACGGAGAAGTTATGTCATTTGACAAGAGTTCCCCAGCTACTCCTCACTGGGGCCAGGATTTGACCCCGGCAGCCCAGCTACAGGGCTGTGTGGTCAGTCCCCGCTCAGGCTCCAGCTCTGACTCTGGGAGCAGGGAGAGTTCAGTCCCAGGGACAGGGGTTGTGCAGTGCAGGGGTTCAGTTAATCACATGTGCAAGTTAAAAACCTCTGCTCCCCCTGTCCCTTATCTGTCACTACCTCTTCATCTCTTCTCCCCACCTGTCAGGCTCTGGTCTTCAGGAATCATTCTGCACTTGTTACTTGATGTCTGTGTAGACAGACTTGGCCCGGTTGGAGGGAGGGTGGGCTGTGAGCCCGGGGAATGTCAGGTGGGTGCAGCCACTCTCTCTGGGTCTCACCCATCCATCTTCCCTTGTTCTCCTGCAGACCCTTTGCTGAGCCTGTCTGTCTGTCTCTCCAATTTTTTCTGCCTCACTTTCTTTCTGACTTTTTTCTTTCTGTCTCTCCGAGCCTCTTCTACTCTCTCTCTTGTCTCTGCGTGTCTCTCGTGGTCTTGGTCTCCCCATCTCTGTCTTTGTCTCTTTCTCTGTCTCTCTGTGTCACTCTGTTTCTTCCCGTCTTTCTTCTCAGCCCTCTGGCTCTATTCTTCTGTTGCTCCCTGTTTCTCTGCCTCTGCATCTCCCTCCCAGTCTCCACACTTATGTCTTGAAATCTCTTAAGAAAGGACACTGTCACATTTGTGTCTCATAAACACTCTTTGATGGAGAATCCACAAACAACCAGAAGTGCTTCTTTGATGGCCCATCCAGCTGCCTGAGAGCAGAATACCCGTCTGCCCTCTTTGCTCACTGCCAGCTCATCAGCTGTTTATGCAAAGAAAGGAAAACTCAGTTCCTCATTTTCAAAATGTCTATACTTTTCACTTTTCTCTCTCTACTTTCTTTTATTTAAGTCTCGTTTTTTCTTTGATAGATACAATTAAGCCATGCATTGGTTTCCCTGAATGTCAGTAAACAGCATGCTAATTTCTTAGCCTATGTCTTTGGGTTGTTGTCAACACTACACACCCCACATCTCTTCTGGCTCCCCGTGTCCGTCTACTGCTCATCTCTGTCCGTCTCCATGCTCCTCTCTCTGGCCCTGTCCCCCAGTCTGATGGTCTCTCAGGCTCTGTCTTTCTCTCTCTCCACCTCTCTTTCTCTGCCCACCTCTACCCCTCTGTCTTTCTGTTGCTGTGCACTACACTTCTCTCCTGATTCACTGTCCTTCTTTCCTCCCCGTCCCCCGGGGCTCACCCTTGGTATTCCGCAGCTCCTCCAACAGACACTGAGCCTCCTCCTGAATCCGCTCCTCCACACTCCGCTTTCCCATCCCGAAGTCCCTCAAGGTGGCCAGAGAGAATCGGCGAAGGGTCCTCCAACGTTCCCCGTTGGCAAAAACCACACCTGGGGTTGTAGAAGTTAGAAGACGACTCTGGGTCCCTCTTGAGCGCTTATCCTGCCTTCCCAGACTCACCTCCCCAATCCCCTTCCTCCATCCTGCCCCTACTCAGTTCTTCTGAGGTCCTTACCATATCCCTGGATGACTTCCTCAACAACAGCGATTTTTCCTCGGCCAGAGAAGGCCTCAGCTTGGTCCACCAGGGCCTCCCGGATGGCCTCTGTCCCACACAGCATGACCACAGGCCTTGGACCCAGGTACACCATAAAGACGTCCCCATATTTCTCTTGGAGCTGCCAACGATAGCCACCCACGGGCTTGCTGTTAGTCAGTGTGCACCTCTGTGGCCATCCTAATTGTTATACCATCAAAAGACTCACAATAGATAAATAGCTGCTCCCCCCGAGACCTTCTACCTCAGGACTCAGCAACTACAAAGTTAATCCAAGACCCAGCCACGATCCACATGATTGGTGCCCTGATGTTTAAATATTTCTAGTAACACTCTTGCCCAAACCCCTGAGTCTATAGACCTCTCTGACATCGTAACTGAAGAATCTTCTTTCTTGTGAACCAACTTCAACCTGCCATCTTCCTCCTGACAAATTCCCCAGAGAACCACCCTGAACTGACCACCTGGAAGACATGAAGGGAAAGAGAGGGCCTTCTGAAGTGATCATGAAATTTGAAAAATCATAACATCAGTACAGCCACTTGGGAAACTCCCCAGCTGTACTTACAAATGCATGTTTACTTAGTGAGTCAGGATATACACTCTAAACAAGATGCACAGCAAAAATATGCATGTGGATTCACCAAAAATATGAACAAGGAGATTCTTAGGAACCTTACTAATGAAATGTTCAGCACCATCGATACAGAATAAATATGTAATGATGCACTCATGCCATGCAATACTATACAACAATGAAAAAGAACAAACCATTGCTATGCCCAACAACACGAATGAAACTCTCAGACATAATGTTGAGTGAAAGCAACTAGACTAAGAGTCCATCCATCCTAATTCTACTTATATTATGTTCAATAACAGATAACACAGACCTATGGTGTCAGGATAGTAAGAAGGTAGTGACTGGGATGGGTGCATGAGGGAGGTTTGCAGGGACAGGCCATGTTGTTACTTACCTGTATGTCATTTACATGAGTATGTTCATTTGAGAATATTCACTGAGGTGCACACTTATGATTCGTGCGCTTTTGTAGAGTGATGTTAAACTTCAATAAAACGTTGACTTGAAATCATAAAAGGGTTAAGTTTACTTAAAACTTACATTAATCTCTGCAAAGCCTCCTCACTGGTCTCCCTACTTTCATTCCTGTCCTCCCTACAATTGTTTGACCACCCACCCACCCCACACCAATCCAGAAGCTAGAGTAACCTCCTTAAAACGTGAGTTAATATCACTAACCTGCTCCAAAACCTCCAACGCTCACACTGCACGGAGAATAACACCTGAAGTCTCACCCTGGACCACACGGCCCTACATAACGTGGCCCCACCACCCCTCTGACTTCTCCTCCCACTCGCCCCTTCACTCACTCAGATCCAGCCTCTGTGTTGTCCCCCAAACATGCTGAGCTTGCCCCCTGTTTTAGGGTTCTTACACCAACACCTGCCTCTCTCTGGTGCCTTCCACCTGCCTCCTTCAGGGTCTCTGCTCAGAAACAGAGCAAGACTGAGCTTTCCCCTCACCACTCAATCTAAAGTAGCTCTCACCACTTTCTAAAATATCACTCTGCTTTATTTTAGTCATAGCTCTTGTCTAACTAATATTTCCTTATTTGTTTATTTTGTATCCCTGTCCAATGCCACATCATCAATGCTGAAAATATTCCCCAACATACAGAAGGTGCCCAGTAAATTATTATTGTATGAGTTAATAGACGAATGAGTGGATTGAAGTAGCTGCCAGTTAGCTTACTATACACCAGGCTCTATGCAATATCCCGTTTGTTCCTCACAACAGTCTCAGGAGGCTCACATTCTTGTGGTCACCATCTCATTTTACAAAGGAGGAATCCAAGAGTAAGAGTTGAGCAAAGAATAAGAGTTGAATCTGGAACATGAACCCAAGTCTGTCTGACCCAGAAGGAATTGGGAGCATACAGGGGAATGGAGGAGGAGCAGTTCCACCGTCCCCAACCTGTCCCATCATGACATCCACTAGCCCATGCCCTCTACCTCCCTCCCTCTCTCAATCTCTCTCTCTCTTCTTCTCTCTCTCTCTCCACAAAGATGGAATGATAATGGAGGCTCATGGACAACTTGAGGATACTTGGAGGGTCTATGGGAGAGCTTTAGGGGGTCTGGAACTCTCACAATTTTATGCTAAAGGTGCATGAATATTTGTAGGGGAGGGAGGGCACAGCTTTAATGAAATTCCCAAAGGATTCAGTGATCCCAAAATTCTTAGGTAGCTTAAGTGCATGAGGGCATTGGAGATGAAAAGGTCTTTGTGCTGGACCCAGCTTCCCCTCTGAAGTCCCAGCTGTGTGACTGTGGACAAGTGCCCTCCCCAGGCTGAGATGTACTGTCTCTGCCTCTATGACGCGGATAGGTCCTCCCCAGCCCTCTTGTTGTAAAAAGACCTGATGAATTCCCACATCAATACAGATAAATCCTAGCCACATAATTCTGAGTGAAGAAACAGAGTCCAGGAGTTTACACAAAAGCATGGTGCCCTTGTGATGCATTAAGGACACTGAAAGTTAAATAATATGCACTTGGGGCCTCCACATCTGTGAGAAAATGCTCTCTATTAAAAGCAAAGGATGGACATTGAGGGTATTATGCAAAGTGAAATAAGTCAGAGGGAGAAGGTCAAATACCATATGATTTCCTTCATTAAGTAGTAGATAACAACAACAATAAACAAACACATAGAGACAGAGATTGGATTGGTGGTTACCATAGGGGAAGGCGGGAGCGAGGAGGGAGAAAGGGATAATTTGGCACATGTGTGTGATGATGGGTTGTAATTAGTATTTGGGTGGTGAACATGATGTAATCTATGCAGAAATAGAAGTATAATGATGTACACCTGAAATTTATACAATGTTATAAACCAATGTTACTGCAATAAACAAAAAATTTTGAAAAGTTTAAAAAATAAAAAGCAAACGGATGACAGCCCAAGACTCAGGAGTGTGGTCCCCACGGCCGGGGAAAGTGGTTGGAGGAGCACAGGGCAGGTGGAAGTTACTGTCAGTGTTCCAATTCTCTATTGGGTAGTGGGTTTATGGAGGTGGATTACATTATTAACTAATAAATAGATCATCAAACATGAAATCATATCTGGAAGTGACACAGAGCCTAGTAAATACTCCACAGTGTCAGCTACTATTACAGTGCATTAATGTTCATTATTGGTAAGCACTCAGCACCTGGCCTCCTGTCCTGCTCTCCCTCCTGTCTCCCCATTGTCCTGGCACTGCCATGAGCCACTCTTTGCTGTCTTTTGTTGGCAGAGGAGAAACCTACCTGACGGTTACCACGTTCCCCTTTTCTGTCTCTTCCAGTGGTGAGCCGGCACCCAGGAACACGACAGAGGGTGGCAGAGGTGGGTGAAGTTCTACACCCGTGGCTCACACCCAGACACCTCTTCTTGCCCAATTGCCTGCTCTAGAGACAGTGCCCACACACTTCCAAATGAGCAAGGACACCTCTGACTGTCTGGCCTCCATCCACCAGCTTCAGCTTCAGGCCACTCACTCACCAACCTTCACACATCCCACCCCTGAGCCTGGGAGGACGCCTCACTGCTTCTGGGGAGTGATACCCAAGTACGGGGGCAGGGAGCCACCATCGGACCCAACTCATCTGCATCTCACCCTCAGGATGGATTTGAGTAGGCCTCTTCTGTCCATCTGCAGAAGGTTCCCCAAGAAGGGCAGAGGACGGGGTCCTGGCGGGAGGTGGCCTTTGGCCTTTGGGCGGCCTCTGGCCAAGAGAACCAAGAGTCCCAAGAGGAGAGCAAGCAGGAGGAGCACGCTGATCTCCATGGTCTCGCTCTGACTGCCTTCCATCCCACTGCAGCCTTGAGCTGGGCCTTTTATCCTGAGCCTGCCTCCCCACCCAGTTATGTAAGGTCGTCCATCCCCCCCCTTCCCTCATCATTGTCCAGGAGTTTGAACTTTAAAGAGAGGAGCTAAGGGACCCATATTTCTGGCTCTGGCAGCCCGAAAACCTGGTCATTCCCTACCTCTGCAATATCACCCTAGATGTTGGCAGAGATACTGTGGTAGAGATACCAAGGTCCACATGAGTTTGTGTGCGTGCATGTGCGTGTGTGTGTGTTTATTTTTGTGGGTATGGGTGAGCATCCACTGACCGCTTGTTTTGGCCATGATTGAGTGTTTTTGTTTGCATACATTTGTCCATCCATGCTTGCATCCGTGTGTGTGCTTGCATGATTTTCATACGTGAAAGGGGTATTTGTATTTATGTGAATGTGATGATGTGTGTCTCTGTGTATGAGTCTGTGTGTGCTTATGCGTATATTTTTGCATATGTGCAAACTTATATGTATTTACATGGTTTCATACCTGAAGGTGTGTTTGCATTTGCATCGTGGTCTTGGTATACGTCCCTGTGTGTGATCCTGTGTGTGCTTGTGTGTTTGTGCATCAGCCAGTTCCTGTCTCTATGGCGCCTGCAGACCCTCAGTGTCCTTCTCTCCAGTCCCCTTTCCTTCATCCTCCTTTCTGTGACAACCACAGATGAGAGTTGGGAGAAACAGAAGGAGGGGAGAGACACAGAACTGGTGAGACTCAGAGGAGGAGGGGTCAGGTGGAGAGAGACAGAGAGAGCGAAACCTGGCAGGTGGAGTGTTGGGGTCCTCTGGATGTCTGATTGCTCTGACCAGCACCAGGAGGGTCTCTCCCTGCCTCTGGCTCTCTCTTCACAGTGCAGGACTTTTCTCTGACCCTCACTGACATTCTGTATGTGTGTTGCTGTATCTCCTGCTCTCTCTCTCTGTCTTAGTGTCTCTGTTTCCCTCTTTACACTCTGAGCTCCAGGAGCTCAGAGACTGGGTCCAGTTTGATTGATGTCCACTTGGCTTGCATCTGTCTCCATCACCACTCTGAGCCTGCCCCCACCCAGCCTCTGGTAGGCTCACTCCGTATTTGCCAAACATGTGAATGAATGTGTCCATGTCCACCTGTCATGGCCTGGGCCTGACTTTCCACCTCTCTCTGTCTCTCTCCTTTAAAAGGGAGTGGGGGGCGATGAGGCAGCACCTTTCCTGCAATGTTAGGCAAAATCCTTGCAGGACCCAGGTCCCTGACTCCAACAATTGAGTCATACTCCTCCAACCCAGGAGTCGTGGACTGATAATCCTGACCTCTTGAATTCAGGGGTGGAACTTGTACTTTCCCGACCTTGGAGAGATGCCACCATGGATTTTCCTGAACCTGGATACTGGCTCCTGCTGTGCTGAGTGATCCGGCACTAGGCTCGGGTCTTCATGTCAGTCCTGGGAATCACAAGTTGGGACACATGAAGTGCTTTACACAGAGTAAGTCAGGTCTTCTCACCCTTTGAGGCAGGTATGGTTGTCATCCCCACCTTATTGATGGGGAGACTGAAGCACAGAGAGGTTGGGAGTTTTTCCCAAGGTCACACCGCAGATTGGAACTGCATTGTCGAATATGGTATCCACTTGCCACATGTGGCTATTATGCCCTTGAAATATGGCTTGTAAGACTAACTAAAACTAAAATTTAATTTTAACTGGAAATTGATACTCAATTCAGTTACTGGAAAACTTTTAAGTACATTTGGAGGAACTTGAGTATGTGAATCTCCTTTTTACATTGTAACTTTCAAGAAATCTAAATACAGATCAGGTATTTCTGAAGAAACTTTAGGGTCCCAGTTAAGATGAAATATAAGTGTGAAATAGACACCAGATTCCAAAGATTTATAATAAAAAAAAAAGATATGATAAGAGGCAGAGGCAGAAACAGAAAGAAACTCGGAGACAAAGAAAGGCCCAGAAATAGACAAGAGATATAAAGTTATAATACAGAAATGGAGGCAGACAAAGGGAAGTTGCAAGAGACAGAGAGAGAGAACAGGAGAGCAAGAGAGGCAGACACACAGACACACAGAGACCGGGGGCCTCCGAGGGACACAGGCATGGCTGGCATCTATGAAAGAGCTTGTTTTTATATGTGAGACTATGTTCATATTATTATTATTTTATTTTTAAAAGTTTTAATGAGGTATGATTGGCATACAATTAAATGCATATATTGAAACGGTACAATTTAATCAATTCTGACATATTGCACAGCTATGAAACCATCACCACACTCAAGATAATGAACATACCCATCACTCCCAAAAGTCTCCTCACGCCCTTCTGTAACTCCTCTTTTCCCCCATTTCCAACCCCCTCCCCAGGCAACCGCTGACATGCTGTTGTCCCTAGAGATGAGCTTGCACTTTCTAAATCTTATAGAAATGAAATCACATAGTACATCCTCTTTTGTGTCTGCCTTTTTCCACTCAGCATAATTATTTTGAAGTCTGGGGTAGGCTGAATAACGGCCTCCCAAATATGTCCATGTCCCAATCTCTATAACCTGTGAATGTGAACTTACGTGGCAAAAGGGATTTTGTAGATGGAATTAAATTAAGGGTCATCAAATGAGTTGGTTATCTAAGTAGGCCAAGGATGTAATCACAAGGATCCTTAAAGAAAGAGGCAAGAATTTCAAAGTGAATAGCAGGAGAGGTGACAATGCGAAGCAAAGTGTTGGAGCGATGTGAAGGGGCACTGAGGCAAGGAATGCAATTTCCAGAAGGAATACAGCCCTCCAACACCTTGACTTTAGCCCAGAGATTGATTATGCTCTCTGACCTCCAGAAATGCAATAGAATAAATTGTGTTGTTTTATGCCACTAAGTTTGAGGTGAATTATTACAGCACTACCAAGAGAGTAATATAAGGTTCCTTCATGTTGTTGCAAATATCAGTCCCCCATTCCTTTTCACTGCTGAGAGTATTCCATTGTACAGATAATCCACTGTTTGATTACTCATTGATGTGTTGTTGATGGACATTTGGATTATTGCCAGTTTGGGGCTCTTACAAATCTTGCTGCATAGAAGTGTGTGTATATACATACACTTTCATTTCTCTGAGTAAATACCAATTTGCGGAATGGGTGGATCATATTATATGGGGTATACATTTTGTAAGAAACTACCAACTTGTTTTCCAAACCTCTTGTAGGATTTTACATTCTCCCTAGCAGTGTATAAGAGTTCCAGTTGTTCCACATCCTTGCCAACTCTTGGTACGGTCAGTCTATTTCATTTTAGACATTCTGATAGGTGTGTAGTGGTACCTCATTGTAATTTTAATTTTAATTTCCATAATGACTAATGGTGCTGAACATCTTTTTGAGTGCTAATTTGTCCTTTGTATGTCATCTTTGGTGAAGTGGCTGGTCAAATCTTTTGTCCTTTTTTTACATTTAGTTCTTCATTTTCTTACTATTGTGTTTTGAAAGTTCTTTATTCTGGAGAGAAACCCTTTTTCAGGTAGGTGATTTATAAATATTTTCTCCAAGTCTATGTCTTCTCCTCTTGTTCTCTTAATAGTGTCTCTTGAGGAGCAAATGTTTTTACTTCTGATGAAGTTCAACTTATTCTTTTTATGGATTGCACTATTATTGTCTTATCTTAAAAAATTTTCCCCACCAAAGGTCACAAAGATTTGATCCTGTGTCTTTTCCTAGAAGCATTACAGTTTGAGGTTTTATATTCAGACTTGTGATCCATTTTTAGACAATTTTTGCATGAGGTGACAGGTATGGATCAAAATTACTTTTTGGCATATGAATATACAATTTTTCCAGCACTATTTGTTGAAAGTATTGTTTCTCCACTGAATTTCCTTTGCACCTTTGTCAAAAATCATATGAACACATATGTGGGTCAATTTCCAGACTCTCTATTATTCTATTCTTTATTTTGTTGATTTTGACCCAATACCAAACTGTCTTGATTACTGTAGATTTGCATTCCTGAAATCAAATAATGTAATCCTCCAACACTCTTCATCTTTTTATAAGGTATATTATTTGAATTCTTTTGCATTTATATCTGAATTTAAAATCAGTTTGTCAATTTCTAAAAGAAAAAAAAGCCTGCTGGGATTTTGATTGGAATTGTGGTGAATCTGTAGGGAACTGACATCTTAACCATACGAGTCTTTTGACCTATGAAGACAATATATTTCTCCATTGATTTAGGTCTTTCTAGCAGGTAGAATAATGGCCCCCCAAAGATGTCTACATCCTAGTTCTAGAACTTATGAATATTTTAGGTTAGACAGAAAAGGAGAATTATCTGTGCAGATTGACTTAAGGGTATAATCAGCTGAATTTAAGATAGGGGCAGTAATCTAGATTATCCAGGTGGGTGCGATGTAATCATGAGGGTCCTTAAAATAAGTGGCAAAGGGTGGCAGAAGAGAAGGATCAGAAGGATATTGGACAATAGAAGGATGATCAGAGAGACACATTATTGCTGACACTAAAATGGAGGAAGGGGATACAAGCCAAGGAATGCAGGCAGCCTCTAGAAGCTGGAGAAAGGCAAGGAAACAGATTCTCCCTTAGAATTTCCAGAATGGAACCCAGTCCTGCTGACGCTTTGATTTTAGTCCAGTGAGACCTGTATTGAACTTCAGACCTATAGCGCTAAGGATCATAAATTTGTTTTTATATTACTCGATTTGTAATAATTTGTTACAGCAGCAATAGAAAACTAATACAATCTTCTTTAACTTCTCTCAGCAGTGTTTTGTAGCAGTCAGCGTACAGGCCTTTCACATATTTTGACAGATTCATTCCTAAGTATTTCACATTTTTGATGTTATAGTAAATATTCTTTTAAAAAAACTTCTACTTCATGGCTAGTATATAGAAATTGCTAGTACGTAGAAATGCACTTGCTGATCTTGTATTCTGCAGCATTGCTAAAC